TGTTTTTCTAGGAGGTACCTGTCCCTCATGGTTCTTGGTCAGTGACTGTCATACATGTCAAAGACATTTATTGTCACATTTAGTATAGTATGAGTTATTGTTTAATCAAGTGGAACACAATCACTGTAAGTTGTCTCCCCTTCCCTCTTTACTAATGCCACCTTTGTGCCTCAGTGATGGGACTGCCCCCTTCTGGCTTTGTGTCTCCCATGGCGGACTGCCCTCCGTGCACTTAGACCGTAGCGATTCAAGAAAAGACTGGGGCCTTTCTGTGGATCGCAGGCAGGAATGAGGAAGTTGATTCATTGGATCAGTATCAATCAATTTGATATGATTGTAAGTTCTATATGTTTGCCCCAGAGCTGCTACACAATCATAGGAAGTTAGAGGCCCTCCCACCTAGTTTTTCCTTGTCATGGTGACCATGCCCAATGAGACGGAGGTGACCCAATTACATGGAAAGTCCCCAAATTATTTTTGTACCTCCTGACCATTCTCTTATCCAACACGAGCAGGTGTCCATCTTATGACCCCTTTATGACCACCAAGTCAGCAAAGACATTCCTTGCTTCACCTTGCTGACAAATTATTTTTGCTTATTTTAGTCTATGCCTCGTTTGTCAGCCAGTGGAATTGATCTGTATCTGGTGTAGCTATTCTTGAATGTTTAGATATCAAGCCCTATTAAAATAGGGCCCTGGAAGGAGGGAGCATCTCAGATCGTGAGGAAGATCTGAGTCCACTTCATTAGAGGGGAGCATGGACCCTTTGATAAAGTACCACTGGCTCAGAGCTCTGCCTCAGTTTCCCCATCATGGTCTTCAGACAGCAGGAATCTAATGCCACAAGCATTACATACATGCAAAAGCTCTGAGGGCTGGGTGACTCGCTCCTGCCCCACCTGCCTGTAGATGTCATAGGGAAGTAGTTTAGTTCCTTTTTCTCTTTTTCCCGTCATCTGAGCATTCTGATGACTCTGACAACTTGTCCAGCCCCTCACCCCAGATAACATAGTCTATTAGATGACTTTTAAAAACGTGTGTGTGTGTGTGTGTGTGTGTGTGTGTAGTCCATCCTTGCTTTCTCTACCACTTCACTCCTGTCTTTTTTCTTCAATATGATTAATCCTCTACCATCCATGAGACCATGAGATCGGGGTGACCAGCTCTAGATCCTGTCAGCTAAGTGGGCTCCATCCCTGGATAGCTCACTCCTTTTTTCAGATGATGCCGATGATGGCTCTCCTTAAGAGGGTGGCTAAGATTTTCTTCCTGCTTTGCCAGGCTCCAAAACTGACGGGTGGGCCAGCCCTGGGTCCTGGTTGGCTTGGCTGCCCTGGCCCCATACATCTCCACCTTCTTTGTCTCTCTGTATGCCTGACTGCCTCCCTGACTGCCCATCTGCCCTCCCAGACACCCTAGGTGGGAAAAGGCAATGGGAATTGCCCCTCTACCCTTCAGCCAGACATTCAACAATCTCCTTTCCTTTCTGTCATGTTTTCCCGTTTTTCCAGTAGTTAAGTAGTGATTTCTATCCCAGAAGGTGAAGTCTTTGGATTTATCAAATAGTAGATTAGTATAGTGATTGACTATTGTCATACCTAACCTATTCCACTGATCCACCACTCTATTTCTTATCCAGTACCAAGCAGTTTTGATGATTGCTGCTTTACAATACAATTTAAGATCTGGTACAGCTAGGCCACCTTCTCTTGAATTTCTTTTCGTTAGTTCCCTTGATATTCTGGACCTTTTGTTCTTCCAGATGAATTTTGTTATTGTTTTTTATAGTTCTGTCAAATAAATTTTTGGCAGTTTGATTGGCATGGCACTGAATAAATAAATTAATTTAGGTAGAATTGTCATTTTTATTATGTTAGTTTGGCCTACCCATGAGCAACTGATATTTTTCCAGTTATTTAGATCTGACTTTATTTGTGTGAAAAGTGTTTTGTAATTGTGTTCATAAAGTTTTTGGTTTTGTTTTGGCAGGTAGACTCCTAAATATTTTATAATGTCTACAGCAATTTTAAATGGGATTTCTCTTTCTATCTCTTGCTGCTGGGCTTTGTTAGTAATATATAGGAATGCCAGTGATTTGTGTGGATTTATTTTATATCCTGCAACTTTGCTAAAGTTGTTTATTATTTCAAGTAATTTTTTACTTGATTCTCTAAGTATATCATCATATCATTTGCAAAGAGTGATAGCTTTGTTTCTTCTTTGCCTATACTTATTCTTTCTATTTCTTTTTCTTCTCTAATTGCTACAGCTAACATTTATAGCACAATATTGAATAAGAGTAGTGATAATGGACATCGTTGTTTCACCTCTGAACTTACTGGAAATGCCTCTAGCTTATCCCCATTACATATAATGCTTTCTGGTGGTTTTAGATAGATGCTATCTATCATTTTAAGGAAGACTCCATTTATGCCTATGCTTTGTAGTGTTTTTAATAGGAATGGATGTTGGATTTTGTCAAATGCTTTTTCTGCATCTATTGAGATAATCATATGATTTCTGTCAGTTTTGTTGTTGATATGCTCAGTTATGCTGATAGTTTCCCTAACATTGAACTAGCCCTGCACTCCTGGTATAAATCCTACCTGGTCAGAGTGTATTATTTTCCAGATGAGTTGTTGTAATCCCTTTGGTAACATTTTATTTAAAATTTTTGCATCTATATTCATTAGGGAAATTAGTCTATAATTTTCTTTCTCTGCTTTGGCTCATTCTGGTTTAGGTATCAGCACCATATTTGTATCATAAAAAGAATTTGGTAGAAGTTTTTCTTCCCCTATTTTCCCAGATACTTTACATAGCATTGGAATTAGTTATACTTTAAATGTTTGATAGAATTCACTTATAAATCCATCTGGCCCTGCAGATTTTTTCTTACGGAGTTCATTGATGGCTTGTTCAATTTCTTTTTCTGAAATGGGGTTGTTGCGGGCTGAGAGGTTGTGACCCCTCAAAGACCGGAGTACAGGACTGGTCCTCTGGAATGAATTCACAAACTCAAGCATTCTTTAATCCAAGGTGGCAAAGGTTTATTGTTATGCTTTTCAGCGGGCAAGGATTCTTAAAGATCCTGCAACCTTAGAGAGGTACAGGATAAAATGCAATAAAACATATGTCAAATATGCTAACTAGGGGATTCAGGGTGGGATTAGGGAGTGGTTAAGGAGTGGTCAGTTCTCAATTGAAACTCAAGATAAGAAAGTCCCATTATTCAAGAGAGTATCTGGTCCCAGACATCCTGGGCCCAGTGATAACAAACAGGAAGAATACTGATCTTTTGCTGACACAGGAAGGGGTGTTTTTAGTTCACTCAGAGAGAAAAAGATTAATTTAGGTTTTTGGCCCTTATTGGGGCTCAATTGATCTTAAATGATTATCAAGGGACAGTGTTTCTGAGGCTAGGGAGAAATTGGGGCCCAAGTACAAGCACCCAAACATAAGCACCCAAGCACCCCAACAGGGTTAAGTATTTTATTTCCTCTTCCATTAATGTGGGCAATTTATATTTTTGTAAGTATTCATCCATTTCACCAAGGTTGTCAAATTTATTAGCATACAGTTTGGCAAAATAGCTCTTTATTATTTTGATTTCCTCTTCATTTTTAATGAGTTCAACCCTTTCTATTTTTGATGCTGGTAATTTGGTTTTCTTCTTTCCTTTTTTAAATCAAATTAACCAGTTTTTTCCCCCCATAAAGCCAGCTTCTCATTCTATTTATTAGTTCAATGGCTTTCTTACTTTCAATTTTATTAATCTCTCCTTTGGTTTTCAGGATTTCAAAGTTGGTGTTTATTTGGGGATTTTTAAATTTGTTCTTTGTCTATTTTTTTTTGTTGCATGCCTAATTCATTGATCTGTTTTTTCTCTATTTGATTGATAATAAGCAATTAGAGATATAAATATTCCCCTAAGTACTGCCTGGGCTGCATCCCATAAATTTTGGCATGTTGTCTCATTGTTTTCATTTTATTTAATGAAATTAGTTTTGATGATTTGTTCTTTGACCCACTTATTTTTTAGGATTAGATTATTTAAAATTAATTTTTAATCTCTTTCCATTGTCTATTACTGAATGTAATTTTTATTGCATTATGACCTGAAAAGGAAAGTTTATTATTTCTGCTTTTCTGTATTTAGTTGTGAGGTTTTTATATCCTGATACACGGTACATTTTTGTGTAGGTGTCATGTACTGCTGAGAAAAGGGTATATTCTTTTCTATTCCCATTCAATTTTCTCTAACTTTTCCAGAATTTTATTCACCTCCTTAACTTCTTTCTTGTAATAAACAAATTTTGGTTAGATTTATCTCGTTCTAAGAGGAGAAAGTTAAGGTCCCTCATTAGTATAGTTTTATTACCTATTTCCTCCTGTAACTCATTCGACTTCTTCAAAAATTTAGATGCTATACTATTTGGTGCATTTATGTTTAGTATTGATAAGACTTCACTGAATATGATACTTTTCAGCAAGATATGGTTTCCTTCTTTATCTCTTTTAATTAGATCTATTTTTGCTTTTTCTGAGATTATGATTACTACCCCTGCTTTCCCTGCTTTAGCTGAAGCATAACAGATTCTGCTCCAGGACCTTACCTTTATCCTGTGTGTATCTCTCTGCTTCAAATGTGTTTCTTGTATTGTAGGATTCTGGTTTTTAATCCATTCTGCTCCCATTTTATGGGTGAATTCATCCCATTCACATTTATAGCTATGATAACTGTGTATTTTCCTACATGCTATTTTTCACTTGTTTATTCCCCCCCCTTCTCCTCCCCCCTTCCCTCCTCACAGGTGTTTTACTTCTGATCATTTTTCAGATGAGGAAACTGACGCAAACAGGGTTAAGTAACTTGCCCGGGGTCACACAGCTAAAAAGTGTCTGAGACCTGGGTTGAAACTAAGGTCTTCCTGTCTTCAAGCCCTGGGCTCTATCCATTGTGACACATCTCTGCCCGTTTTACTGTGAGACAAAGGCTTCTACTCTGATTCCAAATTCCATTTACTAGATTCTGATTCAGTGTTTGTTCTTGAGTCCTTTGCTTGCTTATCTTACAAGGCCTGGGAAGGTTACAAGACTTGCTGGGATGGAGGTCATTAAAACGGTGGTGGCAACACGCCCCTCCACAAACCAGTCGGCAGATTTCTTCACACACCCGCAATTTTGGGTGGCGACATTTTCTTCCTAACTTCTGAGGAGGGAAAAGGGTCCACCTTGCGGAGGGCTGGGAGCACAAGAGTGTTCCTGGAGTGATGACGGTAGGGAGGGAGGGAGACTCTGGCGCTCCATAGATTTAGAGGCTATTCTGTGAAATTTACACAGAAAGAGCAAAGGCCTTTCTAAAAGCTGGGGATTTCAGTTTCAGTTTTGGTCTCCTAACCTGCGCGTGCTCATTCTCACCAATGACGTCTTTTGTTTTTCGTTTGCTATTGGCTGGCAGAGCCTCTGTGAAGCCAACCAGAAGTTAGGAATTCGTCCCTCTCTAAACCTAGTGTAAACAGGTTTCCGTGACCTTGTGCTTCTCTGCCTGCGGGCCATGAACCTTTACGTGTGCTCTCTCTTTTTGTTGGGGACCCTGGCCCTGGGGGAGACCTGGGCAGGCAAGTAGAGAATAGTGTTAAACGGCCGCCTGGAAACTGGACAAAGCATCCAGGGGTAGATCCGTGGGTGGGATGGCCTTTGCTAACAGAAAGCTCCTCCAACACTAGCCCAGAGTGGGTTTCCAGGGAACCAGCTCCTTCATCTCAGGTGAAGTCAGGATGATGGTGAAAGGAAGAAGCCTGGAATAAGCGTGTGCATGACTCGGGGACCAGTAGCCTGCCGTCCCTTGGCTGCGCTTTGGCGGGAACGGGAGGGCGTCTTGGTGTCGGCCTTGGTTTTTTTTTGGGGGGGGGTGAGTGGATTGGTAAGTAGGTGTGAGGACGAGGGGCATTGAGGCAGAGCACCCAGGAAGAAGAATGGGTGCGACAGCCCTGGGGCGTTAAGAAGGAGCAGAGCTGTCCGGGAGCCCCCGGTATGCAAGGGCGAGGACAGAGAACCAGGAACAGCCTTGTTAAAGAGCTCCACAAAGGATCGTGGGGGGCGGATGGGATGAGGCTGGGGGCAGGTAAGACCCTTGGGGTGAGGAGTGTGAGAGACCCGGGACCTGGGCCAGAGGTAGGGGCGGGGGGAGGGGGGAAGGCAAAGTCAGGCGAAAGGGCACCAGGACCTGCCTGGATTGTCAGTGAAGGCGTCTGGCTGATCACAAAACGCTGTAGTCAGCAGCTGCGGCGGCGGGTCTTGGGAGGCATCGCTGGCGGGGCGAGGTTCGGAATCCGGGGCCACACCGCGAGGGTGACGCGGTCAAGGCTTAAGCCGCGGTCGGCACGGGATCATACATCACACCCCGGGTTTGGCCGCAGATCCTAACGCCCGGGTCTTAACGTCTCAGGCTCTCACTCCCTGAGGTATTTCTCCGCCGCTGTGTCCCGGCCCGAGCTCGGGGAGCCGCGGTTCTTCTCCGTGGGCTACGTGGACGATCAGCAGTTCGTGGGCTTTGACAGCGACAGCGAGAGTCAGAGGCAGGAGCCGCGGGCGCCGTGGATGGAGCAGCTGGAGCCTGACTACTGGGAGCGGAACACGCGCATCTCCAGGGCGAACGCACAGAGTTCCCGAGTGACCCTGCGGAACATGCGCAGCTACTACAACCAGAGCGAGGGCGGTGCGTGACGTGGGCCGGGGCGGAGTGGGGGGAGGGCCGCGTCCGAGCCGCCCCACGGTCACCTGAGGCCCGTACTGGGGACACGGGAGTCGGGGGGTTCCCGAGGCTGGAGGACCCGGGTGAGGGGTGGGTCAAGGAATCAGCGCACGGTGGGGAAAGTCTGGCCGAGCTAACCCGAACCGGGGACGGGGCAGGGGTCCACATCTTCCAGACCATGTACGGCTGCGAGGTTTCCCCCGACGTCACCTTCAAGCGAGGTTTTTTTCAACACGCCTACGACGGGCACGACTACCTCTCCCTGGACACGGAGACCTACACGTGGACGGCGTCGGTGCCCCAGGCTCTGAACTCCAAGCGCAAGTGGGAGGCGGAGAGGAGCATAGTAGAGGGATATAAAGCCTATCTGGAGGAGACGTGCGTGCTGTGGCTGAAGAAGTACCTGGAAATGGGGAAGGAGACGCTGAAGAAGGCAGGTACTGCCAGGCACAGCCGTACATTGTCCCTGCAGCCTCAGCCCAGGGCTCCAGATCCGCCGGCACCCCTTGTACTCCAGGGCCAGCATTGTGGGGTGTTCCCTCTGCCCCCACCTGTCCTTGTGCCCCTGGAGGGGAGCGGGGGGAAGGGAGAGCCTGAAAATGGCTCTGACCTTTATATCTCCAGATCCGCCCTCTACCCGAGTGACCCACCACACTGCCCCCAATGGGGAAGTGACCCTGCGGTGCCGGGCCCAGGACTTCTACCCTGCCGACATCTCCCTGACTTGGCTGAGGGATGGGGAGGAACAACTCCAGGACACAGAGTTCATTGAGACCAGGCCTGCAGGAGACGGGACCTTCCAGAAGTGGGCAGGTGTGGATGTGACCTCGGGCCAGGAAGGGAAATATACCTGCCGAGTTCAGCACGAGGGACTGCCTGAGCCCCTCACCCTGAAGTGGGGTAAGCACCATGAGGGGCTGGGAAAGGCCATCCCCCATACCCCCAAAAGACCAGAGGGAGGTGGAGTGACTGGGGAGAGATGAGAGAGGGGTTAGTGAATCTCAGGCCAGAAAAGGATCAGAACCTCTCACTTCCCCTTTTCATTTCAGAGCCAGAGTCCTCATCCCCCTGGCTCATTATGGGGGGTGTTGCTTTTGTCCTCCCCGTTGCACTCATTGCTGGAGTTGGGATCTGGAGGAAGAAGACTTCAGGTGGGCAGACCTGGGAGGGGGTTCTTGGGGAGCAGCCACCATGGGGATCCTGGCTTCCCCTGACCTGCAGCTTGTCTTTCTGTCCCCAAGTCCTCTCTTTCCCATCTAAGGGACTATTAGATGGGCCCTGACTGTACATGAACAAATCCCCAACCACAAACCATTTTCTGGAGGATGCCTGGCAGGGATATAACAGGCTGGCCGAGTGGGGAATCTACTTCACACTCAGATCAGAGATGAATATGAGGATCTCTGCCAGAGGGCCCCCCCACTGGGGACTTTAGACCAGCATTGGGAACCCCTGGAGATGAGCCTGGAGGTGGGGAAGTGCCCATTTGGGGGGCCTCTTTTCTCTCTTCCGGTTGGGTCCAGAGGCTGGACTGGAGTGGGGGAATGGGGGTGCAGTCCCAGTTGTAATTTGTTGTGTCTCCAAGACAAACCAGTGAACTCCTGAGACCTTGGTGTGGTCTTCTCTCCTGGATTCCTCACTGGAAATTTTTTTCTTCTCCAGGTGGAAAAGGAGGGGACTATGTTCCTGCTACAGGTAAGTGAAGGGTTGATGTGGAGGATAGAAGGAAGGGCCAGCCCATGGTATCCTAGGGACCTGAGCAATGGGAAGGCAGAGGAAAGGCTTAGGCCAGTAGCCTTCCCTTGGTGTCCCCTTCCCTTCCCATATCCAAGTTCTAGGATGTATGTCCCTGACTGGGTCGTTTCCCTCCTTTATCTCCAGGCAATGAGAGTGCACAGGGGTCAGATGTGTCCCCTACAGCCAAAGGTAAGACTGGGGACCTGGAAGGAGAGAGGGGCTGGGGTAAAGGGGGCCAAGCAAACAGGAGGGTGGCTGAGAGGTTGGGCTGAGGGTTGGATGGGTGGTAAGGCAGGCCCTTCAGAATGAAGAGAAGCTGATATACCAAAATACAGTTAAAATGGGTTCATGATTTAGATATAAAGGCTGATACTATAAGCAAACTGGGAGAGCAAGGAATAGTTTACCTATCAGATCTATGGAGAACAGAAGAATTCATGACCAAACAAGAGATAGAGATCATTACAAAAAGCAAAATGGATAATTTTGATTACATTAAATTGAAAAGTTTTTGCACAAACAAAACCAATGCATCTAAAATTAGAAGGAAGGTAGAAAATTGGGAAAGAATTTTTACAACCAGTCTCTCTGATAAGGGCCTCATTTCTAAAATATATAGAGAATTAAGTTAAATTTATAAGAATACAAAGCATTCCCCAATTGATAAATGGTCAAAGGATATGAACAGACAGTTCTCAGATGAAGAAATTAAAGCCATCTATAGTCATATGAAAAAATGCTCTAAAAAATTATTGATTAGAGAAGTGCAAATCAAAACAACTCTGAGGTATCATATCACACCTATCAGATTGGCCAACATGACAAAGCAGGAAAATGATAAATGTTGGAGAAGATGTGGGAAAATTGGAACACTAATACATTGTTGGTGGAGTTGTGAAATGATCCAACCATTTTGGAAAACAATTTGGAACTATGCCCAAAGGGCTGCAAAAATGTGCATACCCTTTGATCCAGCAATAGCACTTCTAGGGCTATATCCCAGAGAGATCAAACAAATGGGAAAAGGACCCACATGTACAAAAATATTCATAGCAGCTCTTTTTGTGGTGGCAAAGAATTGGAAATTGAGAAGATGCCCATCAATTGGGGAATGGCTGAGCAAGTTGTGGTATATGAATGTAATGGAATACTATTGTGCTATAAGAAATGATGAACAAGTGGGCTTCAGAAAAACCTGGAAAGACTTGTATAGTCTAATGTTGAGTGAAGTGAGCAGAACCGAGAGAACATTGTACACAGCAACAGCCACGTTGTGCCATGACTAGTATTGATAAACTTGACCATTCCCAGCAGTACAAGGATCTAAGATGTCTCCACAGGCCTTGTGATGGAAAACGCTATCCACATCCAAAGAAAGAACTATGGAAGTTGAATTGCTATTTTTTTCTCTTCTGTTGAGTTTTGTTTCCTCCTGATGGTTCCTCCTATTGGCTTTAATTTTTACTTACAACACCACTAATGTGAAAATATGTTTAATAGGATTGTAAATGTATAGCCTATATCAGATTGTGCGCCGTCTTGGTCTTGGGTAGGGTGGTGGGGAGGAAGGGGGAGAAAAAATTTTAAACTTAAAAGCATATGGAAGTGATTATTGATGAATCAAAATAAATTAATAAAATTCCAAAAAAAAAAAAAGAATGAAGAGAGACTGGAGGCCAGAGGGGATGTGGAGAATCTCCCTGAATCTGTCTTTCCTTCTTCAGGTTGAGAGAATTGCCTGGTGTGGGCCTGAGGAAGAAAACAAGTCTCCAGTCCCTGTGTTGTTGCTGTGGACCCCTGGCTTCTCTCCCCAGCACTGGCCCCTGGGATCCTCCCTGGACTCTACTGGCCCAAGCCCAGGGAAGCATCATTAGGGCCCTCACTCTGTTCTTTGAGGCCTCCCTCCCCACCTTCTTTCTTTCTGCCTGTGTCACTCTTCAGGGAGACAACCAGCAGTGAGGGCCAGAGAGCTTTGGTAGTGAACCCTCCTTCACACATGATATTGCACTGACCTGGGAGCTTTGTCTGACTGCACACACAGCCTAACAAATTGTTATTCTTGAGTCCTCAGCTTTTCTCCACAGTCTCCATCTGAGTGGGGGACTTTGGGGGACAGGATGACAATGTGGAGATGTTACGGCTGTATGAAGGGGAAATAAAGTTTGGAGACGTCTGAGAATCCTTTTATTTGCTCTTCTGAGTCTGTGAGTACAGGTGGGGGCTGGGACCAAGAGGGGAAGGCGCCTGGGGGAGGGCTGGTGTAGTGAACATGGTGAGAGTGCAGACGCTCGCCTTTGCCTTGTACTGCTCGGGTGCACTTGTGGACATGGTATATTCAGACTTGTTCCAGGGCTTCAGACAGAGCCCAGACTGCGTACTCCTCTTGGAAATGGAACGATGCCCAAGCAGGCTATTGGCCCATAGGCGGCCCCTCAGCATGGACTTTCAGGGAGTTGCAGTTCTCTCTGTTTTGTTGCCATTTTCCTCCCGCCTCATGTGTGTGTCCCTGCTTTTCTTTCATTGCAGGGGCCTCCCTAAGGGCTTCTGTGGCCTCTGCTCAGGGCCCTTCCAGGACCCTGGGGCTCCATCTCTGTTGGTGATGGTCACTGTAGGGAGTGACTGCCTGGTACCCCTTATAGATGGTCTCAGAGTAGGGACTTTTCTTCCTTCTGAGGAAGGGAAGTTTCCCCTTTGAAGTTAATGAAGGAGGGAATATCTAGTTTCTAAATAGAAAGAAGTCCCTGCCCCTTCTGCATCTCCCTGGAGTCCCTAACTGTACAGTTGATTGATCTCCACCTATGACTTCTCTCCTCCCCCACTCTCCTTTCCCCTTTGGAATGATCTACTGTGTTGGGAACATTTGCCTTTCCCTCTTTCGTTCTGCCCTGGTATTTCTTTCCAAAAAAAGGGCAATGTTTTAATTATTTATATTTCTCTCCCATCTTTCAATCACCATTTCAACTTAGCATCGGACAATTGGACAGTTGTATTTTCCTCACCCCAGGCTGTCCACGTTTTGCTCCCTTGTTCTAAAATCCCTGGTGTGGAAGTTTCTGTTATCATTAATTGATCTAAGGAAGGCAGTCCCGCAGTGGTAGAAGCAGCAGAGACTTAGGCCCTACTGTCACCTAGCTGATGTGTGATAATTAAGAGAAAATATTCGCTACAGATATGTCAGGTCAGATCCTGGGTCATGCTGGACAGTTGTTGCTCATACCATGCTGAATAATTAGCACGTAGTTTTTGTCCCAGAAGGTTGGAGGCCTCTCTCTGAGCATCCTCTTCTCCCAAGAAGGCCCTGAGTTTTGTGCTAATAAGCAGGTGGACAATCTCCCTTGGGCTGTAAGCCATCTTATCCCTTGGCCAGACAGGATTTGGGGGCCCTGGGGTTGAAATAGGGAAAAAGCTTCAAGGGAGTGGAGCCATCTTCTTTGAGCCTGAAGCTTCCTCTTGCCTTGGTCATCCAGTTGTGAAGGGTTGTACATGGAGGACTTGTCTTTTCTCACAAGACTTCCTGTCCCCGTGTGCCTTACAAGGAGCCAGACAAAAATACTGCTTTTATATCTCTGATGAAAAATTAGTTCACTGAAATATGAAACTTCCTTCATAGAACTGGAGTTGCTTTTCCGGCCCTGGTCTCCAAACTCTGTGACCCCCAGAGTCCAGCCTTTGAAATCCCCCCTCTTAACCATCACAGGTGTCCATAAGCAGGAGGGGCTGCTCCAGGAGGCCTGGCCTTGGAGGGACTGAGTGACCAACCCTTGTGGGCTTTGTTAGAGTGTGGATTCAATGCAGGTGTAGGTTTGACCAGAGGGCTCAAATACACAGCCTGCTGCCTGGCTGCAATGTTCTGGAATGCTTTGGAAGCAGATTAAAGAGTAGTTGGCAGATATTTAACAAAGACATGAAAATATAATAAAGTAGGTAATATTTCATTTTAAACTAAAGCAGTATATGGCCTGCAGTGATCCTTAAGTAGAGATATGTGAGTCCCACTCCTACTTGGGGGCAGCCAGGTGGTACAATGGATGTAGTACAGGGACCAGAGTCAGGAGACTCATCTTCCTGTGTTCAAATGTGGCCTCAGACACTTACTAGCTGCGTGACCCTGGGCAATTTACTCAACTCTGTTTGTCTCAGTTTTCTCATCTGTAAAGTGAGCTGGAGGGGCAGCTAGGTGGTGCAGTGGATAGAGCACTGGCCCTAGATTCAGGAGGACCTGAGTTCAAATCCAGATTCAGACATGTAGCACTTACTAGCTGTGTGACCCTAGGCAAGTCACTTAACCCCATTGCCTAGCCAAAAAAAAAAAAAATGAGCTGCAGAAGGAAATGGCAAAGTGCTCCAGTAGAAAAGCCCAAAAGGGGGCACAGAGTGTTGGACACACCTGAATAACAACAACAAATTTTCATTAAAGTTTGGCATCACTGGTTTGACATCGCAGAGCTGACCTCTGAAGGCCCAAATGACTCTCAGATTCTGTGATGCTTATTTTCCCCTACTCATGGTGTGTTCGTATCAAGGAGTTCGCTGGCCCTTTGGTGCTACCCCCTCAACACACATAGAACCATGGAAGGATGTTGAGACTGCCCATTGGGAACAATTGTTGGGTAACATCCTTCTAGAGTCACATGTGTGTGTGCTGGGGTCAGGATCTGACAAACCAAGGCCTTCCCATCCCAAACCTGAGCTTGCCCTATAAACACCTTGGCTTTGCCTTCTTCCTTTCCTAACAGTCTCCCTGTAGTTCATAGGTTCAAAGCAAGAGATCTGGCTTCTTATTACCCTTAATATCGCTGACAATGCAAATGTAATTCTCATTTTACTGATAAAGAAACTGAGGCAGAGAGAGGCTCAGTGAGGTGCTGAGAGCCACACACCCAATGGAAGCCAGAGTTAGAGATTGACCTCAGATCTTCCACTCCACCATGGGGCCTCCCAAGCCCAACACTCCAAATCCTGGCAGCAACCCTGGATGAAGCCTGGCCTGGATAGACCTGTGAAGGTCTGCCTTTGAAACCTTCCTTCTGTATCTCCAGTTAATCCCTTAAATGTTGATACCTCATTCTGTAGCTCTCCCTCTCCTGAATCCCCTGTTTCTAGCAGGGATCTTCCCTGGAATCTCCTGACAAAGGCATAAGCAGGATGGGAGGGGAGGGGAGGCATCCCTGTGTGTCACAGCCATGTGCTTCCAGCTCCTGTGTTTGCAGCCCCTGAGCCTCAATGGCATGCCTGAAACCAACCCCCCTGGCTCTGTCCAAAGTTAGGGGAATATTAAAGCAGCAGATGAATTGCATTTTCATAGGCATTCAAGTGAGGCAAAATTGGGGCTCCCTTTCATCATTTGCAGCAGAAAGTTGGTCTAAATTTCAAGGTAGCAAAGTGGCCCAGTCAATGGAGCCTCTAACTTAGAGTCAGGAAGACCCGAGTTCAAATCCCATCTCAGACAGTTAACAGCTTTGTGACCCTAAGCAGGTCACTTACTTCTCACCTGAGGTTTCTGTGTCTGTAAGATGGGGCTCATAATAGCACCTTCCTCCCAGGACTGGTGTGAAGATCACATGAGATCATATTTACAAAGTGCTTTGCAAAGCTTGTTATAGAAATACTAGCTGTTACTATAATTGCTTTCAAGCACTAGTTGCTATGATTCTGCCAATTCCAAACAGTCATTCAATCAGCATGATACTCATTGAACTGATGACTTTCATCCCATCCCTTCAGAACCCTAAGAATTGCTCCTTGTTTGAAGGAGACTTCAGTTTTTTATCTCCTAAGCGGGACACTCCTTCCACCCAGTGGATTTTCATGGTATTACGGGATTTAGAATTACAGTATATTCTCCCTTCTAAAATGATGTGTGTGAAGAGGGGAGGTAGGGGGTACAGCCCTCTGATAAACCAGAGCCTGAAGCCTTCAGACTTCCTGGTGAGCTTGAGGACTTCACAGGATCGTCAATCTAGAGTCTGAGGGGGCCTCCCAGGCCATCTGGTCCAGCTGCTTAGGGCAGCACCTAGTCCATAGTAGACCCAAGAAATGCTACTGGCCTGACTCCAATCCCCAAATCCATTCCTCTGATCTCTAGGACTTCTCTATGAAAAGTACAATCTGCTTGATAATTACTGAAAACTTTATTATTCAGTGGAACAATGATAAATAACAAGTTATTGAAGGAAGATTCTGGAAATAGAGGGTGTTTCAGCTGCTTTCTGGGTCACTGGCAGATTACACACACACATATACGGAACAACAGTAAACAACAGAGGGTCATGATTAGATGAAGCTTATGAAGTCCAGGCTAGGTCAGCCATGGGCATTCAGAGAAGCTAGTCTGGGATACCCAGGGAAGGCTTCCCAGTAGAAAGGGGACTTCAGCTTCAGAGTACAAGTTATATTTATCTATGTCAGGGGCTTTTCACCTGGAGTACACTGACCCCTGACTTTCAGGGGGTCTGTGAACTTGGATGGGAAAAATACATCTTAATTTCACCTAACTTGTAATTGAAATGTAATCAGTCCTTTGACTACCAAATTTTTAAAAACCACACTAGCATTCTGGGAAGGCATTTATTAAAAGCTTCACCAGATGACACACAAACCAATTAAGATGCCCTGATGTAGGTTATAGATGGGACAGCAAGAGAGTGGTCAGGGAACATGTCATTAGGTGAATGTAAGTATATCAATTTTTGGTCAAGTTAAAGATGCCAGTATCATCATATTGGCCAAGTCTTTTTAGATAAATTATATCAGCATTTTACATACATAGGTATGAATCCTTTAGACTATAACAATATTGAGAACTAGATTTGTATCAGAATGATAAGGGAAATGCAACTGTTGGGCACCCTTAGGTACTTTCCACATATATGAGTGTGTGCGTGTGCATGAGCAGGTATGTATATACACACCCATACCTATGTAAGCATATATATGTATGAGAGACAATACCTACTAATCCATCAATTCATCAATGAGAGTTATGAAGCTGCCTGTATCCTTGGACCCTGCAATAGCACAACTAGGTCTATTTCCAAAGATGACTGGGGGGAAAGGAAAAGAACCTTTGTCTTCTAAAGTATTTGTAGCCACTCTCTTTTTTGGTGACAAAGAACTGGGAATCAGGGGATGCCCATCAATTGGGGAATGGCCAAATAAGTTGTGGTATATGATTGTGAT